TCCCAGGATGCAGAGCCTGCTAGCTGGAATTCACAGAAGACTGGATGAACAAGACAGCAGATACACATCTGGTGGATATCTCCAGTGTGAGGCAAAGAGCAGAACATTGCACAGTGGGTCCGGTGCAGGGAGCGGACACTGTGGGTTCCTGCCCAGAGAACCTTCAATGTTCACAGAAAGGAGCCTGCCCCACCGAATCCACGGACCGTACTTCCCATATCACTTAGCTGTTCATCTCTCTCATAGTTACTGGTTGCCCCGTTTTCTCCATCTAGCAAATTAAAGCCAAAATTTATTGAGCACAGTACTCAGCCAGTACTTAAAAAGTGCTCAAGAAATACTATTTCCCCTTGTTCTCAAAACGAAGACAAAAACAAAGCATTCCTGAATTATGTGGCCCCAAATGACAAAATAAAACAATACCTAGATTTTTCCTGTGCTAAGTGTGGGCTCTTTGGCCGCAGAGAGATGGAGCGTTCATCCTCCAATGGGCCAGGTTCCTTGGCCCTGAGAAAATGTTCTGCTGTGAGCATTTATAAGAAGTTTAATCCAGGCTGGCCGTTTTTTGATGTGATTGCAGCTCTACAAAATGGGATTTTCCTGACAGATAAAACCCCATTTCTTTTCTCCGGATGTGCGCATCCGATCATGGCGCACCTCTAGGAAACCATTTTTGAGCCTCTGGAAAAAGGTTTTCCCCCACACTCCCTTCACTCTAACACGATAAGGCTATCCGTAAGGTCTCCCGGGGACAAAGGAGTCCTCAGTCATCCTGGAGCATATACATAAGGCACATTTAAGGCACAAACCAGTGTTTGAGACCAGGCCGGAACCTGTGTGTGTGTCAGAAAGAGGGAGGGAGGGAGAGACCCGGTGCTTTTGTCTTTCGAGTAGCTACTGATGGAGTAAAGTGCCTTGGCGCCCTTCCTCCCCAACATTCCCCAGCTCCAGACAGCACTTGGCCTCAGTTAAGACTCCAAAGTCCTGGGAGTGACTGACTGACCGACTGAATGGGAAACCTGAACCGGGTCTCTGGCTCCTTCACAGCCTCCCACTCTCTCCGGTGACTGTCCTCCCGGAGGCGCTCCTGCCATCGCGTGTCTCCTAGTTGTCTCAGCTGCAAAGCAGTCCAATGAAATGGCTCCCACTAGAGCACTACCTGCTAAAGGCTTCTCGGTCCTACCAGCACAACCCCAAGCGGGAAGAGCCGGCGTCTTTAATAAAGGGATTGCAAAGACCGGATTCAAGGGAACCAAAGGAATGACTCATGCAGACAAGGGGGTGGCTCACAGCCTTCTCCTCCATCTCCAGTCTCCCCATGTCACCAAGGCCGGCGAGGGTGGCCCTTTCCTCAGCAAAGAGAGGGATGGCTCCATTTGTGCACTGCGTTCACGGACACACCCCATTTGATGATGTGTTTGTGCAAGAGAGCTGGCCCCAAGAGGCCTCGGACTCTCTCCCTGTGGTTTTGCCCAGTCTGGGGACATGGAAGAAAGGAGCCATGAAGTGCCGAAAAATTTTCACAGAACGCATGCGACCAAAATCCTGGACACGGCCTCAATGTCCGCGTAAAGATGAATCAATTCGACACGCCTGCTCTACGGGCACGTGAGGGTCACCGCCCTCTTTTGGCATTCAGGCTGAGCTGAGAGATTTGGGAAGAAAAACACCACGGTAATTACAGGCGCTTTATAAGTAAGTTGAGCCAAAAGCTGCTTTCACAATCGACGAATGAGCTCTCCAAGTCAAAATCATCTCCATTAGCCAAAAAAGGTTATCTAATTTTGCCTACACCAGTGTCAAAGTTCACCCCCACCCCCCACGCAAAAGGAACAGCCTAGTTCAGGTATCAGATTTTTGACATAATACTCTCTTTTATGTGGCCGAGGCTCCAGGGTCCTGACACTTCACGGGAATTCTTTCTTAAACTGGCACTGAGGCCTTTCATTTCCAGCATCCATTTCTGAGCACAAAGTCAAGAGCTGTGTGCAAAGGGCCAAGTGGGGGGGGGGGGGGGCGTTACTCAGGTCTCACCCAGTGAAAAACTGCTTGTTCTCTACATGTTTGCAAGACATCTCCTTCACCAGGGTAATCAAAGAAAGGGAAGAGGAAACCCTGCTTACACGATGAAGAGTAGAATTAATGTATTTATGAGTAACATATTTATTATTTATGGTTTATGATTACGCCAACAGTGTCACAGTGTTCAAAACTGAAGTTTGGAAGCCGACGTCTGCCACTGCTTGACATCGGCAGGCTAACCAGGTATTACTGCCTGGACTAGCGGACCGCTGCATCCGGGGAAACAAATCCACTGAGGTCTGGGCTTAACCCTGGGACAGAAAACGAGCACACATCTGTGAATTCTTGGGTATCCTTCGGCCCTTCTGTGTCCTCTCCACGCCCTGGGATCCCTCCCCAAGGGATGACTATTTCGTTCCCTTTACTTGCCCACATCGGGAGCGAAGGGCAGAGGCTTTTCTCAAAACAGCAGGAGGACGTGGAACCCCCTTACTATGGCCATTTGAGCTCCCAAGCTGATGTCTCAGGTCTCTAGATACAGACTCAGTTCTAGAAGAACAGCGTCCCAGAGAGAACACCCTGCTGTTTGGAGGTCTGGAGAAGGGGACGACAAGCAAAGGCAGGTAGGGGCCAAAATAAAATCCTCAAGGTACTAAGGGAGGGACTGGAAGTCTACCGGCCCTTCCCGGCTCCCGCCTCATTCAGAAGAACAGGGTTTTCTACCCCGGCTACCCCTGGAGCCTTCAAAACCCCATCTGGTTCCATGGCAGCAGGTGAGTATGCTGACCCATTCTCACACTTCCGCCCTCAAATGCAAAACCCTTCCTTTCTCATCGGCCAAATACTATTGGAGTTAATTCTTTTTGACCTCCTCAGGCCCCCACGGGCTACCTGTGCCTGATAATTACACGGCGTTTTAAAGAAAGGGATGAACCACAGCAGCCCGTGGCCCTACCCGACACCAGCTAGGCCCAGGAAAATCTAGAGCAGAAGGGAAGGAGGGAAGGGAGAGGAGAGAAGCAGGGCAGGGGCATGTTGGCAGCCCCTCTCCCCGACAACTCTGACGGCCTATGCTCTCTCTGGCCAACGTGAGGGGCCGTGAGACTGCAGACAGCAGCCCTGATCTGGCTTCCACACACAGCTGAAGAGACACAGTTGGCATCTCCCAGTCTGGAACTCTCTCCACCACAGCACAGAGAGAGGAATCACTCACGGGGAGCTCCAGATGTACCTCGGCAGACCAAGCAGGGATCTGCTCGTGAGGTATGATGGCAAACGCTAATGACACCAAATCCTGCATCTGACATGGAACGAAAGGCCCAGGTGTGGGCTTAATCCCTCGTAAGTGCAGGTTCCAGTGACAGTGTCGACAAAAGAGAGAGAGAGAGACCAGAGGTAAAGCTAAAGGCCCTGCAGCTACTACTAAAAATAAAATACAAAAGGTAAGCACATTCCTTATACGAAATCTTTCACAAGCTAGGGGAAAACACTTAAGGGGAATCTTCTACATTATACAATAAAAAGGCAATTTCCATTTCTTATCTGTATGAAAGAGGAAAGAAAATTTTAAACTACAAAAGTTACTTTTAATCATTAAAAAAAAAAATAAAAATAAAAGTAGGTTGGGGGATTAGGTGGTATCTCTTTGGGTGAGCTGCAAAGTAGCCAAACCTGACTATAAAAGGTAAGACTGTGGATACTAAGGTCACGTACTCCAGCCCCAGGCCTCAGGCCCACCCTCTGTGTTGGGGCAGAAGGGAGGGTACAGCAGAAGTGTCAGGGCAGGTGGGGAGGAGGGGGCTGGGCGCAGGTGCGGAGAGGCAAGCCAGCAAGGTTGTCCGCGACGCCTGATGTCGGGGACGGGGATTCCCTTCTGCCACAGGAACAGGGCAGGAAAAGCACGTGGCCACAGAGCCACAGACCCGAGCAAGGTGTTGCTCCGTCTTTCCCTGTGACTTCATTCCGTGGGATGACCCAAGCTTCCGGGGATTTCCCAAGTACAACGATAGGCCTCGGGTTGAAGAAGGAGGAGGACGAGGAGGAAGGGGAAGATGGGAGAGGAGGAGGAAGGGGAGGGGGTTGACGTAGAAGAAGAAGATGAAAACAAACAGAAGCCACCATCTGGGGGATTGGGATCCCAGAGCTTCGGGTACCCTCCGAGCTCCACGGGCCAACAGGAGACTTTGGCCGTTTGGAGGGAGGCGTTGGATCTCTTCAGTGTGGTTGCCAGCGGGAAGCCTCAGTGAGCTAATAAATACTATTTACAAACGGGGAGGAGAAGCCGGGGAGGCAGACCTATGGGTATGTGGGGAAGTCCTACAAGCAACAAGACAGGGCAGGTTTGCCTGGAGTAGAGGAGCCTGATTCCTTCAGGCATTGCACTTGCGGCCTGAGAATGGGGGTGGGGTGGGGGTGGGGGCATCCTCGCTCCGGTGCGGGGAGGACGATCTGCCAGGGCTCGGTCGGGGCAGAGTGGCAGGGGTGCTCACTGAAGGCCCCGGCACCTCCGAGGCTCTCGGGGGTGGACGCTCCGGCAGCCGAGGCTGAGGAAGGCAGGACATCAGTCAGTGCTTTGCCAGATCCCAACAGGCATCCTGGTATTTCTGTGGCTAGAGTGTGCGGTCTCAAAAGAACAAGCGTCATCTCTTCTTCACGCCCCACAGTGAGAAAGAGGCAGTCTCTTTTTGGCACTCTTGGTGGAAACAAGTCTGCTCGTCCCAGCCCCGGACCTAAAATAATTTCCTATGGCAGCAAGCAAGAGGGAGGGAGGGATGCCGGGCTCCGTTCTTCAAGGGGGAGGGAGAGGGAGGTGCTCTCTCACCGCGGGTGGAAATCCCAAGCTGTCCTCCCATCCAAAGCCACGACCGCTCGCCCGTGTCTTCATCCAGATCAAAAGCAAAAAGGAAAAGCTCCTGACAAGGGGGGTTGGGAGACGTAAAAGGAGAGCGAAGAGAAAGAGGGAGGTGGAGACGGCCTCTTCAGAAGGTGGCGTTCACTCTTCTGTCGAGTTCTACAACTTTTAGTGTCTCGTTCCCCTCCAGTTTGGTGCTGACCCTGTGAAGATACCGAAAGGAGAAAAGAGTCTGAGCCACCAACGGACAACTATGATTCTCGTGCTTGGGAGGATCATACAATCATTCCATGACTGACTTTGTGGGCTGGCCCAAGCGTGTTCTTACTCTTTTCCCACCTAATGACAATCCTCTGTTCCCAAACTTTCCAGCTACCAGCCCGTGCACTTGTTCCCATTCTTACCTTTATCACCGCCTAACAGGAGATGTCCCAACCCAGAGGATAAACACGGCGGTGTGATGCAGATTTGTCATAAATTGCTTTAAGGTCATGTATTTATTGGGTGGTGTCCCCTATGCTAGATTCCAGAAAGAAGAGAATTAAAGGATAAAGTCTGACTCCTGGTCTAGAATGCTAATAGTTCAGATAAATTCAAGAGAAAAAGCTACGCTGAAATAACACTCAACACATAACAGAAAATAAATGCTATTAAAGTGTAGAAAGTCTCTAGGCATTCAGAGGAGGGCTACGGGGGCTTTGGTATCAGGGAGAGATCCCAGAAGAAGTGAGGTTTCGGTGGGTCCCTGAACAGTTGAGCCAAGAGGGGAAAATACTTGTGTCACGCATATGCACATGATCAAGCAGCTGAGCCCTCTACAGCTCCCAGTGGCTCCTCCACAAATGTCTCTAGAATGGAAATAATAATAATGCCTCGCCTCTTAAAGTATTTAAAAGGATTTATATATCACATTTGCATAGTACTTAAAATAGTAAGTGCTAGTAAATGTTAAATATGCATGTACAATGTAAACACATGAAAATACACATAATTATGAACCTTGCCCCACTGCTTTAGGGGGGAAAAAAGCCGAGGAATTTGAAATAGAATCTTCAAGTGGGAGCATTAGCATTGGAAGAGCACACTTTCTGGGAAGCACAGGGGTCAGGGCAACAAGGTCACCACTCACACCAGGCAGGCCCAGGAGTGTGCACGCAGACCCTCCTTCCTGCACCGTCTGGCATTTTCAGGAGCCCACCCCAGCATAACAACATCTGGCCATCCTGTATGCCTTTGTGTTTCCAAAAAGGCTGTTCTCCATCACTATCGAAAAGAAACAACTCACGGAGAATTGGAGCCCCATACGTTATTTTCAATATGGAATCAGGTATATGCTCAGTGCCTCTCAAACGATGTCCCTCGATATATAATTATAATTCATACATTTTTTTACTTACAAATCATAAAACTATACATTGACACACAGCCTGACATATGTGTGTCTCTAGCTGGAAGGTAGGGGAGGTGTCCTAAGGCTGCATTCGTGTGGCAAGCACGCTGCTAAGGGAGGGCTCTATGTGTGTTTATGAGGCTTTGAGGGGAGGCAGAAGGAAGTCACCTCTGGGAGCCACCACTGCTGGTTCCCCAGTGACAGAGCAGACACAGGGGTGGCTCATCCTAGGCCGCATCCCCAGTCTCTGCGAAGGGCAGCTATTGACAAGTAGTAAACTCTCCAGAGTCCTGGGTCCTGGAAATAGGTCCTGAAGGAGCCCAGGGGCTGCGCCACGTCTACGCAATGTCTACACCCCACATTCCAGGTTGCTGACTCACAACCCATCATCCGTGCACCTGCGTGTGCTTGACTTACAAGTGCTGCTGTAACTCCAATAGCACAGATTTCTCCAGGCTGCTCTCATTTGAGAGAATGAAATGGGGAAGATCCACTTCAGGCCTGGGATCCAACCCTGATGCCCTGAGCAGGGAGGAGCCTCTGTCCCAAGGCCCAAGTTCCCCAGCTGAGGCTGGGCCGGACGGCTCCTCCAGGGGAGAATGTTCCTCATAGATGAGCAGGTTCCTGGATCTCACTGAGGACAAAGCAAAGGAACAGGTGTTAGGGAAAGACTGCAGGGTTTACCACATCCCCTCACTCACTGCCCAGGGCTGGGAGCAGATTACAATTTGTGGGTTCTTGTTGCCCAGAACTGAGGGTGCCAGCTGGAGCTGGCTTTCCACAAAGGCTTCGGGGTTTCAGAGTTTTGCGCATTGAAAAATTATACCAATTATACAGTGCTGGAAGAACAAAAGGAAAGCAAATAAACATGAAGCAAACTTCCACCCCCACTGCTTTGAAAATAAAACTCCCCTCCTTGCCCACCCATAACCATCTGGGGGAAACAATTCATGAAGAATGGGAGTCAAATACTTGGGGATGTCCAGAGCAGCTAAAATAAGAAACATTTCCAATGAGTCGGTCTTGCACGGAGAGAAGGTACCAGGGCAGAAAACTGCGTTTTCATTTAGAAACCCGAGAGGAGGCACAAAGCCAGAGTCATAAATCAAATCATGGAGACCGTTTCTTTGTTTTATAGGACGGCTGCCTTGCTAGAGGGCTCTGTAGCAATTCTCTGCCACACAGAAACTCTGCTCCCATTGGCTTCCATTTAAATTTACAGATACATTCCCTTAGGGAAAAAAGAACTTCCCAGGAGATCACTGAAATTATCTGGTTGAAATGCCAGTGTTGCTGTCATACACCTGGCAGAGATACAACTACCTGGTGACGACCAGAGCCCTTTCGAACCGCAGAACTGTGCCTCCCCCAAATCCAGCACCTCCAATTCCATCCACATCTGCTCTAATTAGTGTATATGCATGTGTATTGGTGTATATATCATGATCCCCAGAGACCGCTGTTATTTCCTACGTACTTAAAAGGGATCAGTGATCTGGGTGAGGTTACCACACACTTCTTTAACACCCAGGTCTCTAAATTCTCTCAGTCTTGGCCATGATGTTTTGTAAGACAGACTGATTCATTTCTGGGATTCTTACTGTGGTAACATACATTTCCCCTGAATGGAAGGAGAAACACAGGAGTTCCTTTAAAATGTCATGGAAAGCTTACTGCTCCCCCCAGTCTATTCCCCACCCCCCCCCCACCGAATCCACATCCCACCCCCTTCTCAGAGCACGAAAAGGAGACCTCAAGAATTTGCCAGGGAACGTGGTCTATAGCAAAAGAGTTTGCAAACTGTGCTCTATCGGGCTCTAGAGAATCCCCAGCGGTGCCTCAGCCCAGTGGGTGAGGGACACAAGGGGAGACCCAGAGGCCCAGGCACCATACCCCCATGTCTCTCTTCCCTCCCTTCAATGGAGAAGCTACACTTCTGCCACTTTTTAAAAGTTAGACTTTCTCATAAGACTCCCTTCAGAAAGGCGAACTTTCAAAAAACCCCAGAGACATGAAACAAGATCCTTCACGAGTTGCTGAGTGCTGTCTTACCAACAGAGGCTGTATAGGGCTCCTGCATGGAGTGCTGGCTGGGCAGAGCCATCTTGGTGGCAGACGGATAGGGTCCGTAGCCCTGAAAGAAGCTCCCAAATGCAACAGCAAAGCAGAGCACAACCACCTGCAGGGGAAGAGGACGCAGGGCCTGTCAGCTCCAAGGTCCACAGGGCAAACCTTGAGCCCTGCACCACCTGGGAAGTCTGGGGAGACGGACTCCCCTTCATCAGGCCACCAGAACGCACCATCAGGTCACCTGCCGTCACATCGCGGCAAAGCAACTGCGTCTGAGCGAGCCGCGTGGTTCCTCCCACCGCACCTGGACTGGGCAAGCTGGGGGGACACTGGAGACGGGGGTGGGCTGGGGCACCTAGGGCGCCGTCTCTTTGGGAAGCTCACCATGAGGCACGTGCCGGTCTGCGTGCCTGCCAACTTGCAGGTGCGTGAAACCTTGCCCATCACCAACGTCTGAAGCTTCTGTAGTTGCTGCAGGAGAGTTCTGCAAATGCAACAAATCAAAGCCATGAGGGGAGTCTGGGACAGAAGGGGGTGCTTTCAGGTGACCTCTGCCCCCATGCTCTGGGGAAGCTGCTGAAGCCTTGTGCCCAAATGTGCACCCAGCACCGAGGCAAAGTTTCATTCGGAGGAAGATGCGGACACCGGTGCCTTCCAGAACCAGTGCTGTAGAAATTCCCAGAGCCGGGGAGGAGCCTGCTTGAACAGCCCATCCGGGTCTTGTGCGACTCTGAGTCAGAGGTGAATTGCCCCAAGTTACCCCTGACATGCCAGGCCTTGTCTATCAGCCACTGACAAAAAAATGAGCTAAAAGAACATTTTGCGGGGCAGGTGCTGGTGATACAAGGACAATTCACTTACCCACGAGAGAAGAAACAGTGAGGAAGACGTAAGGAAGGAGAAAAGGCAAAGAGAAGAGGAAAATGCCCAACAGAGAACAACTGAAGGAGTGGCCGGGGGTGGTGGCCGTCATGGGAAATGGCAGCGGTATCAGCGAGCAGCGGTCACTTAGCAAATTTGAGGAGAAAGAGAGGAAAAACAGGAATGGCAGGGAGGCAACGGCCAGAGGCACCTCAAGCCGTGGTTCTTGAAGGCTCATGGCACCTCTAGAGTCAGAAACGAAGCCAAAATATGATGGAGCAAAGAGGCCTGCTCAACTGGACCCACGCTCAGAGCCAGGGATCTCGGAAACCATCCTCCCATACAGACTCTGATCCTTCTGCAGGAGGAGACAGGCGGCAGGAGCAAAAAAAGAGTTCTCTCCCTAAAATTGGACAAGTGTGCACACCCTTAAAAGGGAAGGGTTTGGGATGAGAATACTGTATTCTGGTCTGTGTGACATCAGGTCACAGAAAGAGCAGATGGTGAAATTCTTCATGAATTTTGAACAGTGTGAGCCACAGAAAAGGATCTCACAGCACTGCCTCCTAAATCAGAGCCCCTGGGATGAGTGTGTGTGAGCAGCAGAGACCTTGAAGCCCCTCCTGGCCGCGCCCCCTTCCCCAAGCCCAATGCATGTGACCAAGTGCGAAGATTGTACAAGCAGATGCTTTTTCTTGAGTCTTAGAAATTTTCAAAAAAAACCAATTCAGGCCATGATGTCACATGAGAAGGCCAGACAAGTTCACTGGGAAACGTCAGCAAATCTCTCGTTTGCAGAATTCGGGGCTCTCCCAGAGAACTTGCTTCTCACCACGGTCTGTCTGTCTCCTGAATAGCTTTCAAGTACTCGAAGGACAAGCCGGGGTTCCAGAGCTTGCAACATTTACCCTGACAAGTGCCAAGGAAACGGGTTCTCCTGGGGTTTAAGCCAAGCAGGGACAGGTTGGCCATGGGATGATACGGCCGTCAGCAGCTAGATGGCTACGAATGGGGGCAGATTTGGGGTGCCTGGGTGGCTCAGCTGGTTAAGTGTCTGGCTTTGGCTCAGGTCATGATCTCTCGGCTTGTGGGTTCGAGCCCCGCGTGAAGCTCTGTGCTGACACCTCAGAGCCTGGAGCCTGCTTTGGATTCTGTGTCTCCCTCTCTCTCTGCCCCTCCCCTGCTCAGGCTCTGTCTCTCTGTCTCTCAAAAACAAATAAACATTAAAAAATAAAAAAAAATAATAAAAGTGTTCTGTATGTTCCTCAAAGCTTATAAATACTGATAGTATGGTTATTTTAAATCCTACTTAAAGAGAGACTATCATTTGTGACGATATGGATGATGAACCTGGAGAACATTACACTAAGTGAAATAAACCAGAGAAAGAAAAATTCCACGTGGTATGACTTATACTTGGAAGCTTAAAAGAGAAAAAAACATTTTTTTTTTAAAGTTGAACTTAGAAACAGTAGAAAACTAGTTGCCAACAGCTGGAGGTTGGGGGAATTGGGGAGAGGCTGGTAAAAGGATACAAACTTTCAGCTCTAAGATGAAGAAGGTCTGAGAATCTAACCTATAACATGATGGCTATTGTCTATAACACTGTATTGGCTCATTGAAATTCGTTAAGAGAGTTGAACTTAAATGCATTCAATAAAAAACTAAAAACAGGGGCGCCTGGGTGGCGCAGTCGGTTAAGCGTCCGACTTCAGCCAGGTCACGATCTCGCGGTCCGTGAGTTCGAGCCCCGCGTCGGGCTCTGGGCTGATGGCTCAGAGCCTGGGGCCTGTTTCCGATTCTGTGTCCCCCTCTCTCTCTGCCCCTCGCCCGTTCATGCTCTGTCTCTCTCTGTCCCAAAAATAAATAAACGTTGAAAAAAAAATTAAAAAAAAAACCCTAAAAACAAAAAAAAGGTAAATATGTGAGGTGATGGATGTGTTAATTAACTCGATGTGAGGAATATTCCACAATGCGTGCGTATATCTACTCATCATGTACACTTTAACTATCTAACGGTTTTGCCAATTATACCTCAACAAAGCTGAGAAAGAAAGGGGAAAAAAATAAGAATTTACAACTAAATGATCATATGATTTTGCCAATTATACCTCAACAAAGCTGAGAAAGAAAGGGGAAAAAAAATAAGAATTTACAACTAAATGATCATATGATGCAGCAAGTTTTTTTCCTTGTCAAATTTGTTCTCTTATCCCCGCACTCCCTAAGAGCACTCCATTCTTTTATTATTATTATTTTCATTTTTAAACTTATTTATTTTGAGAGACAGAGGGGTTGGGGAGGGGCAGAGATAGAGGGAGACAGAGAATCCCAAGCAGGTTCCACGCTGTCAGCGCAGAGCCCCATGCAGGGCTTGAACTCACAAACTACGAGACTGTGACCTGAACCGAACTCAAGTGTCAGATGCTTAACCGATTGAGCCACCCCGGTGCCCAGAGCACTCTACTCTTACCCACTAGCTAAGCTGCTGTTCCCAAGCTGGGCGCTAAGTGGACTGCTATGCACCCACTTGCTGGGTGAGCATTCATTCTCGCAGAGCTGACAGGTGGCTGGTGGGGGTTTACATTTTATTGGCCACCATCTGTGCTGCCGGCCCCAAAGCCCTCACTGGGCTCTCCGTGCTGGATTTTGGGATTCCTGGGGCAGGATATATAGGTGAGCCCACAAACAAGACCTGTATTTGCCCGGACAGCAAAAACCCTTTTCTCTCATATTCTGGCCTCTTCCTGGGGTCCCGGATTAATGTTTCTGTTGCCTACTAAACTATGGAAAGGGGCCTCCTGGCTTCCTGGCTCGCTGCCCAAGAGCCACGTCTTAAAGTGGTGGCTGCCGCTCCGTGGGGGAAGGAGGGGGGGGGGTACTTCAACTCCCATGGGGCCCGTCTGCTGCCTGAGCTGGCAGCCGAAGGGGCTCACATTCAGCTGTGCTCTGTGCCTTTGTCCATCCGGGCTTTAGACAGCAGCACTCTAGATGTCCCCAGACCCATTTCCCAAGTTTCGAGGCGATTTTAAAGTGAAACCATTTCCATCTTTTCCCAACCATCCCTATTCACCCATAACCATCCCACACTCCCTTCCTGCCCATTTCCTGCTCTTTGCCCAGTCCTTGGAGCACGAAACACCAAGAAAACCAATGCAGCAAATGACTCGGAATCATTCCTCTCTTCAAATTTCTGGTTGAGATCGCTAGCCCTGGTACCATTTCCCTGGGATGAAGAGTCTCCCAGGAGGCTCTGTTGTGCCCCCTAAAAACAGAGCTCTGGGGCGCCTGGGTGGCGCAGTCGGTTAAGCGTCCGACTTCAGCCAGGTCACTATCTCGCGGTCCGTGGGTTCGAGCCCCGCGTCGGGCTCTGGGCTGATGGCTCAGAGCCTGGAGCCTGTTTCTGATTCTGTGTCTCCCTCTCTCTCTGCCCCTCCCCCGTTCATGCTCTGTCTCTCTCTGTCCCAAAAAAATAAATAAACGTTAAAAAATAAAAAAAATAAAAAAAATAAAAAAAATAAAAAACAGAGCTCTAACAGATCAGACATACCTAAACACCAATGGTAGAATGTCTTAGCCTCAAGCTAAGGGGCCCCCAGCTACAGGGGCAAAGTGCTACAAGTTTGGAAGAAGGGTCATTTAAGTCTGGCTGGGTGAGCAGGCAAGGCTTCAGGTTTTCCAGGTGTATATGGCATTTTCCTTGGCACTCAGCAGCAGATCGTCTCCAAACTCACGATAATTATATTCTGAGGCCACTGCAAATGAAAATAGTTGTTTGATGGCCCCTGATTTCTAACAGTTTATAATCTAACTCTTTAAGAGGAACAAACATGTAGTTTTGACATAGATTCTTTTTCCTTAGCTTGAAATTTTGGTGGAAAGCAACAGTGATTGATAATGTGCTCTTTGCTGCTGCTTCTCCTGTGTGGCTCAGTGGAGGTGAACTGAGCCAAATGGTAGAAATGATCACACTCGGAAGCCCATCCATCAGCAACTCCAAGTGATTTCACCCAAGGAAAGAGATTTAGCTAGCCCATCCATCCCCAAATCTAAACAGATTTCATGATCCAGTAAAGTCTGGGGAATTCATTTACATTTGACAGAAATACTCATTTTTGTTGTCATAAGGAAAGGAAATTAACAGTGACTGAGCACCCACTGATTGAGTTCTAGGAACTCCACATCCGGAGATACAAAATAACTGTCTGAAAGACATGTAACTTGTTAAGCTGAAGACCTAATATGTAAACTAAAACCTGGTGCTGTAGTTCAGGTACCTTCCAATGCACTGCAACATGGGTACCCTGGTTTATTACCTAACAAAATCTGTAACCAAAATACTTCTTGGTTAAGGAGATTTTCTCACGCCCAGTGACATTAACCTCATATCAACAACAGCCCAATGAAGAGATAATGTCCACCGTCCCCTGTTAGATAAGAAAAGGTTACTGTCAACCAGGGCCAAGCCACAGATGGAAGAGCCACAGGAAAAATCAGTCCGATGGCAATGAGATACATACTAACAAAGTTTCGTGATATGGCTACCAAAGAAACGATAAGGGCAAATCAACATTTCCTGGCACATCTCCACCAGATAGACCAAAGATAAAGTGCCAAGTGATA